TGGAGCACCCCCGTTGAGGAGAGGCTGAGGAGATGGAGCCGCTCAACCTGGAGGTCTCCAAAAGAACGTCAAATAAGAGGCAAAATCTTCGGGCTGCGTTTCAAGAGGCAAAAGGAGCAGATCTCAACCATCCCCTCCAAAAGGAGAGAACCCCACAGCTTCGTTAAGAGTCAGAAAGGAGATCAAAGGAAAGGATTGTCAGCTTTTAAGGAAAAAAAAAATAAATTTAAAAATGTGTTTTACGTTTCCAGGAGAATCACGGAGTTCACTTTATGTGGAAATAAAAGTGGTTCTGTGAGCGAGGCAGAGCTGCCCTGCTCACTCCCTTCTCACAGCACAGAAACACACAAAAAGTTGTGTCAGCACCCAAAACTCAATCAGTTTAATTAAACCCACGTCTCCTCGCACGTGGGCGCCCCTGTTGATGAACAGCTCCCTGCTGTCCTGTTCACTCTTGCCCCTAAAATACTGGATTTCAACCCAAAGGACACCAGCCAGACACATCAATGCTCAAATTAAATTGGTTTCCAAAAAAAAAAAAAAGAAAAAAAAGAAAAAAAAAAGGAACCTCTGGCCAGGCAAGGACTAAACATCACCTTGTGCTCAGCCAGATCCTGAAACAGCTGGGATTTTTCACGAAAAAAAAAAAAGATTTTTTTTCTTTTTCTGGATTTGCAGGCAGCCAACAGCTCAGGGCACGTTTTGGTCACACCTGAACATCCCAGATCCCCGGAGGAACACATCCATCCCATAAATCTGCCAGAATCCCTGTGGGATCATCTCCAAAGGGTCACAGCAGTGCTGGGACTGGGGAAAAGCTCCTGGGACTCGGCTTTGGGCTGGGAGAGGAGGAGAATCCCGAGAGGACACCCTGGGAAGGTGATGGAGCAAATCCCGCTGGAATTCATTCCCGAGGGGCTGGAAGAGCCAGGGCGGCTCCCCCGGGCACAGCTCGTTCTGGGATCGGAGGGGACAGCAGGGATTTGTTTATCTGGGCTTCGGGAAGGTTCTGGAACCGCTCCCGAGGGATCCTGGTGAGATGGGGCTGGGTAAGGGAATGAGCAGGAAAAGGACAGAGCTGGGACAGGCTGGGACAGAGACACAGTGAGGGGAAATCGGTGATGGGGGACAGAGCTGGGATAGGATGGGAAAGGGACACAGGGAGGAGAAATCAGGTGATGGGACAGAGCTGGGACAGGCTGGAAAAGGGACACAGGGAGGGGAAATCGGGCGATGGGACAGAGCTGGGACAGGCTGGAGAAAGGACCTTGTGAAGGTAAATCGGGTGGTGGGACACTGAGTTGGGACAGGCTGGGACAAGGACAGAGGGAGGGGAAATCGGGTGATGAGGGACAGAGCTGGGATAGATTGGAAAAGGGACCTTGTGAAGGTAAATCGGGTGGTGGGACACCGAGCTGGGACAATTCCGAGAGGCTGGGACAGGCTGGGGAAGGGACACAGTGAGGGGAAATCGGGTGATGGGGGACAGAGCTGGGACAGGCTGGGGAAGGGACCTCGGGAAGGCAAAAGTCGCTCCAGGAGCTGCCTGTGCTTCCCCTGCGGCTCAGCCCGAGCAGTTCCCATGGCAGGAGCACAAAACCTCCCAAAAATCGCGCTCCAATCCGGGACAGGAGCTGAGCTGAGCGGCCGCCACCTCCCGGCGCCTCGATGGAATCATGGATTGGGGTGGGAAGGACCCAAATGCCACCCAGTGCCACCCCTGCCGTGGCTGGGACACTTCCACTGTCCCAGGGTGATCCTGCCAGGGGTGCAGGGGCAGCCACAGCAAATCCGGGAATTCCATCCCCGCCTTCCCAGGGAACAATTCCATCCCAATATCCCACCTGAAACTCATCCCCACAGGGAACAGCTGAGGTTTGGGGCACGCCCGGTGCCCGTGGCACAATCCCACCCATTCCTGCTCCCTTCCTAAATCTGGCACTCGGCATCAGACCCTGCCAGGGGTCCCCTCCCGCCAGGAAAAACCCCTGGAATTCAACCCCAGCACCCGCGTGCCGGCTCCGAGCCCTTCCCAAAGAGGGGAAATTCGCTGCCGGGATTTTTCCCTGTGGGATTTTTTTGGTGTCTGCACCCCCCGAGGTGGGAGCTGCCCTGGGAGGGGACAGCAGGAGCCGCCGTGTCCCCGAGAGCCACCGCGGGTGGTGGCAGCAGATGGGGACAAGGCTGCGGGTCTGGGGGCACTGGCCTGAAAGAGCAACTCCATCAGCTGCAGCCAGCAAACCTTCTGCTTCCCCCAATTCCTAATTCAGCACAGGCTCCTTCCGGCTTTAATTATTTAAAAAAAAAAAAAAAAAAAAAAAATCCTGACGCTGGCTGTTTATTTTCGGGGGTTATTACCGCATTCGACTATTTTGAGACTAAACAACAGCCAAAAAAAAAAAAAAAAAAAAAGAAAAAAAAAAGATTTGAAGCCTTTCCCTCATTCTGCCGGTGAAGTTTAATTCACTCTAATTATTTCATATTACTTAGACTGTAATAGTTTCATAATTTCTAGTATATTAAGCACTTAATACGTTGTGTCATTTCAAGTCGCATATTAAATTCTGCAAAGCACATTTTAATGAGCGCTAAGTAGTGGGGAAATATTAATACAACCTAATGGCTCATTTTGGTGCCCGTGTTGGGAGGCACCGCTGGGGCAGGTGGGCACACCGGGGGCTGGAGGAAATTATGGGCTGGCGAGACACCCAGGGCACCTCCTGTGAGGGGTCACCCACCACCCGGAGAGGCACAAAAAGCGAAGGAAAAGGTTCGGCTGCCCCCCTGCAGAGTCCGAAATGGTGCAAATGTTCAATTCCCTCGCTGAGGGCTTCACTCAGAGCCTTAACTCAGCTCCCGGGGTCACCTGTCCCCCCGTGTCCCCTGCACTCACCTGGCGGAGGTGCCTCCACCCCGCTGCTCCTGCTCAGGATCTCGTGGCACGCTCGGGATGTCCTGGGCAGGGCGGCTGTGACCAAAGAACCCCAGAACAGCTCGGAAGAGACTTCAAATCTCATCTCATCTCATCTCATCTCATCTCATCTCATCTCATCTCATCTCATCTCATCTCACTCCAGCCCGCGCCACGAGCACGGAGCCTCCCGCAGTCCCGGGCTCAGCCCAACCCGGCCTTGGATATTCCAAGAATGGGGCGAAGAAACCTTGAGAACTTTCTCTGGGACCCAAACAAACAAAACCCCAAAAATCCCATCAGAGCTTCGGCCCCGAGGGGTTTTTAACCTTCATCCCCCCCAGCCGTGCCCCCCTGCCCTGGCCGGGAGGGATCTCCTCTTCCTCAGGGCTCTGCTGGGGGATGCTGCTCCCGCTCCGCTGCTCCCCGGGGCGGAATTTGGGGCAGAACTGAGGAGCTGCAGCTCCGGGCTGCGCCCACGCGGTGGCGGCCCAGGCCACGGAACGGCCTTAATGAGCCCTCAGCTAATTAACAGCGGCTCCTTCCCCACCGAGCTCCCGGCGCCGGCTCCTCCTGCTGCCACCCCCTGTCCCTGCCCCGCTCCTGGTCCCGGGGTCCCGCTGATCCTGGGGTGCTCCCGATCCCCGCATCCCGTCCCCCGGTCCCCGGGATGCTCCTGATCCCCGGAATGCTCCCGGAGTCCTCCTGATCCCCGGGATGCTCCCGGAGTCCCCCTGATCCCAAGGATGTTCCTGATCCCCGGGATGCTCCCGAGCTCCGCATCCCTTCCCCCGGTCCCCGGGATGCTCCTGATCCCAGGGATGCTCTCGGAGTCCCCCTAATCCCAAGGATGCTCCCGGTTCCCGGAGTCCCCCTAATCCCGAGGATGTTCCCGGTTCCCGGGGGTCCCACTGATCCCAAGGATGCTCCTGGTCCCTGGGATGCTCCTGATCCCCGGGATGCTCTCGGTCTCCGCATCTCTTTCCCCAGTCCCTCGGTGCTCGGTGTTTCTCCATCCCGTTGGACTCCCTCCCACCCCTGGAGCTCTACCGATGCATCCTCACCCGTCCCGCTGCCGGTCCTGCTCCTCATCTCGGTCTTGCTCCTCATCCCGGCCCTGCTCCTCATCCCGGCCCTGCTCCTCATCCCGGCCCTGCTCCTCATCCCGGTCCCACTCCTCATCCCGGTCCTGCTCCCCTCGTTCTTGTCCTGCTCCTCATCCCGGTCCCACTCCCCTCATCCCTGTGCTACTCTCCTATCCCGGTCCCGCTCCTCCATCCCTGTCCTTCCTCCCCTCATCCCACTCCCCCCATCCCGCTCCCTCTCCCCCATCCCGCTCCCTCTCCCCCATCCCGCTCCCTCTCCCCCATCCCGGTCCCGCTCCGCTCCCGGATGAATTCTGGGCTAAGCCCGGGTATTTCGGGCTAATAGTTGTGCGCGCACCTCCGCTCTCGGAGCTCATTAATGCCATGTCTCCATGTGTGAAACGAGCATATAAATGGGCATTAATGAGCTCGGGAGGAGCGGGCGGAACCCCCGGCCCATCCCCGGTACCGGGGGGCTGCGGGACCCCCGAGCCCCGATCCAGCCCTCGCACCAGGCGGCTTCTTCAAGTGTGTTTTTATTAAAGAACCAAAATCACGTACAGAGGGGGCTGTCCCCAGAGCGGGCGAGCGTTGTTGTGCTCCGGGCCCGTTAAAGTGCCGTTACATCCAGAATTTACAGGGATGGGGAGGGAAGAAGGAAGGAAAAAGGGGGAGGGGGGGGAGGGGGGGAATAAATATACATCATAAATAAATAAATAAATAAATAAATTAAAAATCCGACAAATACTGTACCAAGAGAATCACAGTACATTTATATCCATTGCACATAGCCACTTTTGTTTCCAGGCTTGGACGAGGGTGGAAGAAGCGGACACACAGGGAAGGGAGGGGGAGGCGGAGGCCCGGGGCCGCCCCCCGCCCTATCGCCCGTCCGAGCTTAGCAAAGCCGGGCTCCGAGTCCTCTATGTACAAGTGTCTCCTCGTGGGAATGGCTTGTGTGGGCTCTGCCCGCATGGCTTCGGGGTTGGGGGGCCCGGGGGGCGTCACTGGGGCAGCAGCGGCGGTTTGAAGGAGCAGCTCCCCGTGCAGTGCCGCGGGGTCAGCATCTTGCAGGAGAAGTGATGCAGCGCGTCGTGAGCCTCTGCAAGGGACACGAGTGTCACCCCCCGAGCTGCCACCGAGCCCCCCCCTCACTCCTTTCTCTCCGCTACCTTTTAATTTCTGCTGGATGGCGTAGCGCGCTTTCCGCTCCTGGTCCAGCTCGTTGCACAGCGTGTCTGCGGTGGGGAGCGGCACTGCTGAGCCAGCCCCAAGGGGAGGGGGACGGGGCAGGGGGCAGCAAAGCCGGGCACGGCGTTCCCGGCACGCCTGGGAAGTGTTTACGGCTCGGTTTTTAAATTTAGCCCCAGTGGAAGGGAGAGCGAGAGAGGGAAGGTTCGCTCGCTGCCGTGCGAGCGATGGAGCCGTTCGTGTGCGGGGCAGCTCGAAATTGAGGGAGGAATTGGAGGGCAAGAAAGATATAGAATGGAAAAAAAAAACACACCGAAAAACCCGAAACAAACAAACAAAAAAAACAATCAAAAACCCCCCACCAAAACAAACCCAAAACCAAACAAAAAGAAACTCAAACAAAAAAATAAAAAACAAAACAAAACAAACAAACAAACAAAAAACAAAAACAAAAAACAAACAAAAGAAACCCTCACCCAAACGAACAAAAAAAGCAGAAATACATAAAATGAAATTAAATTTTTTTTAAAAGGAAATTAAAAAAAAATCAAAGTACTAATGGGCTGGGCCTTACCTCGGACGATCTGCAGCTGCTGCACCATCTCCTCCCGGTACGCCAGCTCCCGTTTCATCTGGTCCTGGAAGTTATCTGTGGGGCCGGGGGTCAGCACCGCGCCCGGTGCGGGCCCCGCTCCCGCACCGTGGGCAGGGGATGGGGCAGCGCTACCTTTCAGGCTCTGGAAGTCCCTCTCCAGCTTTTTCCTCAGCTCCATTTGCTCCAGGACCAGTTTTTGTAACTCATCTGTTTTAAAAATACACGGCGGGGTTTGAGGGGAGCCCGCACTTTTCCATCTGGAGGCGGCTCAGCGCGGCGCTAATCGCATTACGTTACATTAATCACAGGAGTTAATCACTCCTGCACAAAACACAAATACCTCGAGCCGCGGGGAGAGGTCGGGGGGTGCCACAAGCCCGTACCCCGAGCCCTCTGCTCCTCACCTCGGGCCAGGTTCTCGATGTCCTTTTCCAGCAGCTGCGTCGCGGTGACATCCATGGCCAGCCCGTCCTCGCCTGCGGGGTCAGAGCGGCGTCAGCCGGGCCGGGGGGAGCCCCGAGAGCCGCCCCCGGAGCGGTGCTTACCTCTGTCGGTATTTACAGGGCTGGGATGAGAGACGTTCCTTTGGTCCTGATAGGATTTTCTGCTCTCTAAATCCTCTGCCGCGGAGTGATTGTCTTCTTTATCTTGCTCTTAAAAGTTAATAAACCGATTTTCAACCATAAGCAACGAAAGTATGGTCCTGATATATCCTTAATTACATAATTACGGACAAAGCCCTCGTTAAAACCTTCTTAGCGGGCATCCTAATCGCTTTGCCGTTGGAAAGTAGCTTGTGGGCAGGAGCTTGGCCCATCCCCGCCGCACCGGCCGCGGCCCCGGCGGCATCCCCGGGCCCGGGGGGGCCCCAGCCCCGTTCCCCGCCCGGATCCCGTTTGTTTCGCTTTTTTTTTTTTTTTTCCCCGAGATCCCCCCCAAACGAAAGCGGCCCTTCGGGGTCCCCCCCGGGGCTGAGCCCTGGGTGCCCGCGTTACCCTTGGCCTCGGGGGTGCAGAGGAAGGCGGCGGGGGCTGCCAGCGAGGCTGCGGGCTTCAGCGGCTGCAGGTGCTCCCCTCTCTCCGCTGCGAACACCTGCAAAAGAGCGAGTCAGAACACGGGCCGGGCCCGCGGGGACCCCCGAGAGCACATCCCCCCCTTTTCCCCTTGGGGACCCCCGAGGGCAGATCCCCCTTCTGGAACCCCCGAGGGCACATCCTCCCATTCCCCCGACCCCGCACCTCGTAGGCGCCGCTGCTGCCGCTGCTCTCGGGGCTGCCGTCGGGGGCTTGGCCGCTGTCCTGCGGCCCCGCCTCGGCCGCTTTCTCCTCGGGCCCGTCGTTCCCGGCTGCCGGAGGCTCCTCGGGCCCGGCCAGCAGCCGCGGCGGCGGCGGCTCCCGGCTCTCGGCGGGGGCCACGGCGGGGACGGCGGCGGCGGCGGCTTCCTCCTCCTCATCCTCCGGGAAGCGGTTGGACTCCACATCCACCTCGGGCTCCTCGGCCGTGTCCCCCCCGGGGGACAGCGAGCGGTAGCTGGAGCTGCCCTCGCTGAGGAAGTCCGGCGAGAGGTAGCCGGGCCCGCGGCCGCCGAAAGCCTCGCGGGTGCCGTAGAGCTTGGCGATGCTCTCGGCGTCCTTCACCACCGGGCGGAAGGCGGACAGGTAACTGCCCTTCCTGGGCAGCGGCAGCGGGGCGAGCAGCGCCTCGTCCCCGGAGCGCTCCTCCTCGCCCGCCGCCCGCGACAGGGCGCTGGGGCAGCGCTCGCCCTCGGCGCCGGCGCCCTCCTGGGGGGTCGCGCTGCTCCGGCCGCTGCCCGAGGGCTCCGAGCCCTCCAGCTCTCCGTGCCTCCCCGCCAGCCCCCCCGGCTCGGCCGCCGCCGCCGCCGCCGCCGCCGCCGCCGCCACCACCACGGCGGTGGCCGCCGCCTTGGCCGGGCTCTGCGCGGGGTAGGGCGGCACGGGCAGGCTGCCGGCGGCCGGCCAGAACACGGGGAACGAGGGGTACACGCCGCTGTCCTTGGCGGCGCCGGGCTGGTGGGGCGGCTGGGCCGGCTGGTGCGGGTGGGGGTGCGGGGGTCCCCAGAACATTCCGGGGGGCAGCGCGCCGCCCTTGCCCGCCTCGCCGCCCCCCGCGCCGCCCAGCGCCTCCTCCTGCTTCTTGGGGCACAGTCCGAAGGCGGCGGCCGGGAAGCCGTAAGGGTGAGGGAAGAGAGGCGGCGGCAGCTTCTGCAGCATCCCGAAACCCTTGCTGGGCACCGGGATCACCGGGTAGCTGCGCACCGCGCCCGCCCCGCCGTGCGCGCCCGCGGCCCCGCCGTGCGCCGCCGCCGCCGCCGCCGCCAGCCCCAGCGCGCCGCGCTCGCCCGCCGCCTCCTGCCCGCTGCACCGGAGGCTCTTGTGCGCCGGGGCCAGCTCGGGGCCGGCGGGCGGCGGAGGGTGCAGGGCGGCCTTGGCGGCGGGGGAGCCGGCCCCGGGCCCGCCGGCGGCCGCGCCTTGCAGGGAGAAGGTCCGCTTGCGGGTGCCGCCGTTGAACATGGCCTTGACATCCTCCCAGGCGTGCGACAGCTCCTCCGTGGCCGTCTTGTCGCTGAGCTTGAGGTGGCGGCGCCAGGAGTTGAAGTTGGCGGCGTCGGGCTGCGTGTACTTGGAGTCCGGGGTGCGGTGGGAGTGGAAGATGAACTTGTTGGGCGAGAAGTACATGCTGCAGTAGCTGCACTTGATGCACTTGGCCCGGGAGCTGTTGTAGCGCGCCGGGATGAAGCTGCCCCGGGAGCCCCAGGCGCACTCGTGCACCACGTCGAAGGCGAAGTTCTCGGGCAGCTTGGGCGGCTTGTGCTCGCCCAGGAAGGACTTGCAGAGCCGCTCCGCCTCCCTCTTGGTGATCATGCCGCAGCGGCGGGAGGAGATGGGCATGGCCCCGGCCCGCCGCAGGATCTCCAGCTGCACCGGCGTGCACTGCACGCAGGTGATGCCCAGGGCCACGCGCCGGTTGTGGATCTCATTGTAGCTGTAGTTCTTGAGCAGCGTGTTGGAGATCTGCGCCAGGCACAGCCGCTCCTGCCCGTCGATGACCAGGGACACGATGGGCACGCCGTACAGGGAGGTCTCACCCACTTGGTTGGGCTTGAGGGTATTGGAGCCCTGGTACGGCTGCAGCTCTTGCTTTGAATTTGGGGAGGAGCTTGCATCTCTCCCATTTCCCATCTGACTGGCGATCGCCTCCATTCCCCCCCAAAACGCCCCTGCAAAACAAAATCGGGGAAAGGCGCGGGTTAGAGGCGCTGCCGGGGCCCCGCCGCCGCTCCCGGCCCGCCGCTCCCGGGGCCCCGCTCCGCGGCCCGGCCGATCCCCGCTGCGCGGCCCGGCCGCTCCTCGCTCGCCGCTCCCGGCCCCGACCCGGAGCCCCTCGGGAGATGCCGCAGGACCCTCCCCGACCGGCGGGGTCCGAGCGCATCCCCCGCTCCGCGGCCGCCGGTACCGAGCGCCGCCGCATCCGCCCGCCGGGCGCGGCCCCGGCAGCCCGGGGCAAGGACATCCCGGGAAGGGTCAGCACCTCCGCTTCTTCCCTCTCCGAGCCCCGGGGAGGTGCCGCGTCCCTTCCCTTCCCTTTGTGCCGGCTCGCCGGGCCGTGCCGTGCCGGTTTGCGGCGGGCTCCAACGAAACGCGCCGGAGGATGCGGCCGGCGGGTCTCGGGGGCCCGAGCCCCGGAGCGGAGCGGGCGGGCCCAAACTTGGCTCTCGGTGGCCGCGGGCGGAGCGGGGCGGTGGGCGCGGTGGCCCGGAGCCCCTTTGTCGTGTCCCCGGCAGGCTAGGATTAGGCGCGGGCGGATTAGGGGCCGGGGCGGGCAGCACCCGGCGCACGTAGCAGAAGGGCAGCAGCGAGCCAGGCAAATTGGCTTAGCGGGGAGGGCTCCCGGTGCTTAAGCCGCTTCCGTGGTAATTACACAAAATAACGGGGAGCGACTCCCGAAAACGCGCCCGGCTTTCCGCCCCTCCATCCCCATCCCCATCCCTCCATCCGCCGCCCGCTCGCACTCACCGCGCCGCGGAGCCCGGCTGGACGTGCAGGCTCTGCTCGGGACTAGGGGCCGCAGCCCGGGGCCGGGGCCGCCATGGGCCGGGGGGGGCCCGTCCGCACCGAGCCCGTTCCCGGGGCAGCCGAAGCCGCGGGGCGCGGGGCGGGCGGGCAGCGGGCGCGCCCTTCACCGACGCCTCGGGGCCGCCGCCCGCCCCGCCGCCGCCGCCGCCGCCGCCGCCGCGTCCGCCCGGGCGAGATGCAACAAGAGCGAGTGACCAGCCGCGCCACCGAGGGAGGATCCGGATCCGTACTTGGAGACGCTGCACATTGATCCGGTGACAGCTAAAATAACGGGAAGACACACCCACTTAGCACCAGCATATTTACATTAACGGCCTCCGGGACCCCGCCGCCGTCAATCACCGATGCGCTCCAGTCAATCACGGCGCGGCTTTAAGGCACGGCGGAACGGGGAGGGAGCGTGAGGGGGGTGGGGGAGGGCGTGGGGGGCCGCCACCGAGCGGGGACCCGCCCGGGCTGCCCGAGGTAAGAGCGGGGATCAGCCCCGCACCGAACCTGCGTGGGGCTCCGCGCCCCCCGTGTCCCCCCCCGCCCGCCCCCGCGGTGCCGCCAGCCCCGGGGGGAGCGATGCTCGTTCAAAGTTTGCGTGGGGAGCGGGCGGTAACGAAAAGAGGAGCCCGTGGGGAGCGGCGGAGGGACCCCATCGAAATCGGGGATGCGCTGCTACCGCGCATCCCTCCCGCAGCCGGGATGCGCGCTCCGGTGCGGGGCGCGGGTGCGGGAGCGGTACCGGGGACGAGGGGGGAGGGGGACAGCGGGCGGCAACGAAATCGCCGGGAGGAGAGGGCAGAGGGCGGCGAGCTCGTGTTTTTCGTTCGCCACGGGGGCTCACGCCACAGCGGCAGGACCGGCCGGCAGGAGCGGCGCGGTGGCTTCGGGGACCCGGCGTTCCGGTGTCCGCCGGTCGTGCCGGGGTGGCGGGGGCCTCTCGCCGCATCCCTGCCCGGGTTGGGCTCCCGCATGCGGCGCTCGTCACGGCCACGTTAATTAAACTGTAATTAATCATCGCGTCCGGCCGCGATCGGCGCAATTACACCGATCAAACAGAAGTTAATAACGGCGCGCATCGCCCGCAGCTATCACTTTTGTGTGTGCCCCCTCGCCTTCCTTCCCCGCCATCACCGGCAGCGTGCGGCGGAGCAGCCGCGGAGCGAAACGCAGGTGCGGAGGAGCCCCCCCACCCTTTTCTCCTCCGCGGCCGAACCGAGCTCCGGACCGCGCTCCACGCGGGACAGCGGCCGCCGCTCCCCCCGGGGCCGCCCCGTCGCGGGGGGGACGCGGACCGGGAGCTGCCGGCCGGGCCTTGCGGCGCGGCCTTCCCGCAAAGATCGTAACCCGAGCCGGCAATTATTCCTCGCCTTTTAATTATTTATCTTCCCCAGCCCCCTCCCGGAGCCATAGGGAGGCAGGAGCGCCGTGAGCTCCGCTCGCCATCGCGTTTCGGGCGATCCCGCCGCCTTCGCACCCGCTGGGCACCGGGAGCGGAGCGGGCCGGTACCGCCGGGACCGGCAGGAACTGGGAGGCTCCGGGAGGACGCGGCTCTGCCCCCGTTCCCTCCGCCGTGCCCTTGCCCGGTGCCCGCAGAGCTCGGAGCGGCCGTGGCCGCACCGGCTCGCCCCGACGGCGGCGAGGAAAAGCCCCGGGGCGAGGAACAGCCCCGGGCCCGACCCCGGCCCCGCTCCTCGCAACCGCCGTATCTTTTTAACAGTTGAATTGACTGCAGTTTTTGTCAGTTAATTAGGTTTAATTTACATAATTAGTACAGTATAAAGAGTATTGGGGATAATCAAGAGGTACGTCTCGCTTACTGTGTAAACACGGATTCGGAATTAAAAATCAGATGTAATTAAGGCGTGTGCGCGCGGCTTTTAATTGTAATGAATTTCTAATTAACGCTCAACGATCACCGCACGCGAGAGCCGGGTCTTTTGCGGGCGTCGCTGCCCCCCAAAACCGGGGACCCCCCCCGGGGACCCCCCCGGGGCCAGCCCGGGGGGCGCGGAGGGGCCGCGGCCGGCGGGGAGGGCGCTGAGCCCCGACGGGACCCCCCCATCCTCGCCCGTTCCCCGGGCCGGTGCCGCCGGCAGGCGAAGCCTGCGGATAATTTAGGTTAAAACTTAGGGAGCCGTGTCACGGGTGTATAAATAAATAATCACGCGTGGCGGGCGCGGAAGGCCCCGCGCTCCTGGAGGGCTGAGCCGAGATTGCCACATAAATCACGGCGGTCTAATTCAGTGGAAGTTTAATAAACGCCTCCTATTGGAAATGAATGTTCCCCATTTAACAGTTGTATCAGCACCATATAAAACCATGACCCCAATAAATTTAATTTTAGAGGCCGATCAATCCGGGCTTCTCTCCATCGATCCGCGGCGGCTCTGCACCTCCGCAGCCTCTTCCGCCGCCCTTCCCGCCGAGGCGGGGGAAGGAGCGTTTCGATTAGACTCTTTATTAGGAAAAGATTGCTCCGAGAGGCCTGAAAATTAAACGGTGACATTTTAATTACTGGACATTGACAAAGGGAGCGGGCGGGCGGCTCTCTGCAGGCCGGGCACACTCGGCCTGACCCGGCTGCGGGGCGGGGGGAGCAGCGGGAGCCGTGCGGGGCTCCGGGGAGCCTGGGGGGCTCCTCTCGGTGCTCCCGGGGATCCCAGCCCAGGGCTGGCCAGTCCTGACCCCCACCCCGATGCTCCTTCTCTGTGCATCCCCACCTCGCATCCCCCTTTTCCGTGGTCCCCACCGTGCCCTCCATGACACCCCCTTGTCCCCCCACAGTGTGCCTCAGCTCCAAGCCCCGCCGCTGCTGTCACCTCGTCCCCTGCCTCTCACCTCTCTGGCCACCCAAACGCTCCCTCGTTCCCCTCGCTCCCTCGGAATCGCCTCGAAATCCCGATTTTCCAGGGCCGGAGGAACGCGGCGTGCGGGATCGATAGCCACGATCGCTTTATTGATCAGGTGAACGCAAACACCTTGGCAGGGCTGGAGGCGAGGGCAGCGATTCGATTCCATTCCCTCCGCCCGGGCCGTGCCGGGGACAGCGGGGCACGCTCGGGATGGAGCCGCACTCACCTGGGGAGGACCTGGCAGCTCTGCCTCGGCCGCGGGGAAGTTTTCCTCCTCCTCCTCCTCCTCCTCCTCCTCCTGCTGCTGCTGCCCATAAAAACCCCAGACATCCATTTGCCATTCAACACCTCCCGGGTTCTGCCAAACCTTGAACTTGCAGCCGGGAGCAGCCGCAGCGGGGACCGGGAGGCAGCAGCAGCAGCTCCAGGAGCCGGGAAGGCTCAATCCATAAATCCTGTCCTGGGAGCACACGGCTGCTTTATGGCCAGAGCCTCTGCTGAAGGTAACGCAGCCCCGGCTCAGCGCAGCTCCTCGGCAGCCGCAGTTTCCCGATGGGAAAAGCTCAGGATCACGGGCTCGCTGTGGCTGCTTTGAGTTAGGAGAGACCTTAAAGCTCCTCTCCTTGCAACCCCACCTCCATGGGCAGGGACACCTTCCACTACAGCAGCTTGCACGACGCATTTTTTTTTTTTTTTTTTAGTTCGATGTGACCAAATACTACAGTTGGAGGTGTTTAAATCTCTGTTTTCTCTCGGTTAGGATTTCCCACTCCAGGCTGGCCAGTGCTGGTGAGCCGGGCGAAGTCCAGCAAGTTCAGGGGACGGCGCCCTGATCCCTCCAAATTTCTGGTGCCTGTGAGCCCCTCCCGAGACCGCCGAAGCTGAGTTATCCCAAAATAGCGGTTACAGCTCAGGGTCTCGCCATCATTCCATGGCTCCAGCTCCTCCTCTGGAGAGCCCCTGTGTCCCCCAGGCCTGGCTGTCACCACAGGGACATCGCTCCCGGGCTGCTCCTTCCCCGCCTCCCCGGGCAGAGCCGCCCTAAAGACCCAGCCCTGGGTGCAGAGGGGCCACAGCTGGATCCTCTGCACAACGAACAGCTGGAATGGGTTTGTTCCCTCATGGGCCGGGCCTGCAGCTGGGCAAGGACGGCGTGTCCTCGAGTTTAACTCTGGGTTTAGCTCTGGGTTTAATTCTGGGTTTATCTCTGGGTTTAACTCTGGGTTTAACTCCGGGTTTATCTCTGCGGGTGCCACATCCCAGCGGGAGCGGGAGGAAGAGCCCCTGCACGGAGCTGT